CACCATTGAAGTTTACGTAAGAAGCTATTCTTGCATGCTGTGTGCCTGGTATCAACTCAGTGACGAACATACAGTCGATGCTATGGATTTACCTGGATCTTGTCCGTTTAGGATAAAATTTGTTAACTCAAAGAGTAAGAGTAATTTTGCTTAGGTTACTTAATTATATCATTTTTTATCATTTCTTCATAGTTGTGGCAGCGCTGCTGTCAGCGAAGACCTCGACGACACATTGTCATACACTTGTGCGGAAGACAACGTAAATGAAACATTCTCACTCAAAACTTATCGGTATTTTGGGGCAGCTGACGGAGCTAAAGTTTACATCCACTGTGATTTCAGAGTTTGCTTGGCAAATGTATCCAATACCGAATGTGAATGTCCTGATGATCCCATCGCTTGCGTAGGTAATCGTACTACTGATATTGCACCGGTGGGGCGTAGACGTCGTTCAATCTCCGATTCCGTGGATGAGTCACAGCTTTATCATGTTGTCTACGGTCCGTTCACCTTTAAGCAAGAAGAACTGAACAAAGATGAAGGTAAATGATAATTCACAGGGCTTTTAGCCATAGGACAGGAATTATGTTGGGTGCTTTCCACGTTCTCTGCTAACCAAGACTGGTTTTCCATGATAACTGACCAAGTCAGAAAAAAAAGGCCGAACGGGGCAGCTTGTAGAACCTAGAAGATAACTTGAACATGTCAAATATGATAGAAACGGAACGAAATGTAATATCATATATCGTAATGATGAATATAGAAAATTAACAAAGGCTGGATAAGAACCTCTGGAAAGACTATAGAAATTTTCCTTTCATGTATTCCTAGTATCTCTGCCTTTATTGATAGACACGAAAGGTTTAACATTTTAATCTACTTACGCCCTCGATAGTGTAACTCAATGATTAAACCTGGAATCTATTTGCTTCATTCCAGTTGCACCTAAAGACCAAAAGGAGACCCGCCAGCCTTCCCAGACATTACCAATTGTTGGGGCAGTATGTGGTGTTGTGGCTGTAGCTGTCATCTGCGCCACTGTTTACCTCGTCATTCACTATCGCAGCAAGCGCACGCAAAGTGGAGATCTGCACGTGGTCACCTAAACTCCAAACACAAATAAGTTGTGTTGTGGAAACGCGCAAATATTACGTTTTTTTAATCCAATATCCATTTGAATGGTGTGACATATGAAGCAACTCGATAGGATTAAGTTGAGTTGTGGATGTTGATTAAGACATAAATCTTTTTCTTTTTTTCAAACGAATAAATGATTAATCGGCTTTTTTCTTCAGATGATGGTGGGAATCAGAAGTAGTTTTCAAAGCTAATGGAATTAATGTCTTGAATTCAGTGTCAAGGTTGATTTCATTAGCTGTAACAGTAAAGTCGTTGTACTCCTATATCTGCTTGTCACTCTTGTGTGCGCGATCCAGATTAACAACCAGTTTTAATCTCTCATTGTTTCAACACCTTATAAACTTGCACACAAGCCTTATAGACAACGTTAAGTTCACACACAATTTCAGGTATTGTGAGGAACTTTATTACGTATGACAAACTTTACACTCTAAATGTAGCACAGCAACGGCAGCGTTGTGATTTTGCTAACACCTATATGATATCTAACCGAATGCTAGCCATAGTAAGTATACCCAAGTCGCATGCGGGCCTAGTTGCTTTCCCGTTAAACTGGCATAAGCCTTGTCAGTGAGGCATTAGTACCAGTCTAATTTTTTACAATCTTTTAGAAATTTTGAGCAGCATCTTAATAAAATATAGGTACCGTCATGAATTTATTATAAAACCTTTGTGTTTTTTTCTTTTTGTGAATATTTGTGTTCTAAAGGGCAGGATGGCCATCTTTTTTCTCTATCTATTTAATGGAGGGAATTTTTACTTCACTCTCTTGGCATACGAAGACCCCTTACTTTCTCCAGTGATTCTCAACGCTGTAAAGCTGGATACTGAAATTTTATTCCATGCGGAGGCTTCGATCCCAAGCCCCACACCCAGTTACCCTCTGACTGGCTCGTATTTTCATAACCAAGCGAGTTTGATTCGTTAGATTTTTTTTAAGTTAAATCGATTGCTAGTTATAGCCACTTCAAATATTCTCTCCCAACTCATTTAGTGTCAAACTTGTTTTCCGATCACAATTCAGATCAGTTAAGTCGTACTACCCAAACACAGGGGTCAAGAATTGGGCATGTGCAGGGGATTAATTTCGGCTGGCTACGCGCCAATTTCCCGCGTAAGGTTTTTAGGGAGACCTCACAAAACAATTGCTGTCCCGCAAAATGTGCAGAGGAAATTGTAATTTTATCAGAAATCTTTAAAAGTATGTAAAAAAGGAAAACTCGAGTCTTTTCAGGCAGAGAGCTTATACGGGATCCTGCGGATTACCATTTTGTTTTAAAATTGTCCCTGCACAAAATAATGCCGGAACCAAATGGCTTCAACGTTTCGCTTTTTCAGCCCAATAATGCGGTAAAGAATTTGATGTGTATGGCATCACAAAGTATTGAAAATTTTTGATGATATGAAAATATTGTTTTTCGCGTTCTATTTTTCAATCAATTTTGCCCTTCAAAGAAAGCCAAGACATTTGATTGACATACAAGTGTTCTCAGCCAATTAGAATGTTCCGTTTGCAATTTGCATGGACAAAACTCCAACCCCCTCTCTCCTTCTTTCCCCAATGGCCAAACGCTCAACGTTTCCAAGACATTGTCTCACAGAGAACATGGCATGAGGTACCTACATCAAAGATGACGCAGCTCAGAAAATTCAAGCGTGAATTTCATATAGAACAGATTTTCAAAATAGAGTCCAAAACAGTGTACGAGTAATTGAAGCGCAATGATTTCCTTTGAAAGATCGTAATTGACTGGAAGTTTATAATTTATTTCGCTTAATTGATGAAGGAAATATATGTAGACAAAAACTGAAAAACAATTTAAGAGGAGAATTAATCAATAGTAAGGTGCGAATTGTCTAAACTGTATATACTGAAAATTTCAAGGTCATGTCGCCTAGAAAATCGAAAAAATGATAGGCGTAAGGCTACTTTAAAATGCAGGAGCTACGGGTTAAAATATTCTCGCAGTTTAAGGCGTTTTTTGATTCCCCCCTCCGTTGCTTCTGTGCATGTTTCGGTGTGATATTTCGGTTAAATCGTCACAGTCGCAACTACTTAACTGTATGAGATAAATTCTTACTGTGCTTCATGTGCTTCATCAAAGAGGTTCTGATCGAAATTCGGTGTCCGTGAAGCGTAGTTGTTTGTGAAGTTGCGTACTTGCATATAACTGTTGCCTAGCGACGAAGGTTCGAGAGAGGACCTAAGAAGTCTTGATTCGCTTTGATAGTGGCAAGATATTTTAAAAACGTGGGATCAACGAAGCGGAACGCATCAAAGCGTAGCGGTTACAGGCTTAAGCAAAGAAACACAGCGGAAGTTTGCAGGCGACCTTGTTATAATCAACGAAATTACAATTTCTTCGAAAACTTTAGCATCTCACACGGACAACGGTGAGTGCCTGATTCATGTTTTAGACCGTCCATAAAATAATTATTTAAACATATCGGAAACAAAATTTGCCTTCGTCAAATAGAACCGCCTTGCGTGCAAACAATACGTTCTCAACAAATTTTTTCCTCTCGTTTCTTTTACTTTCGTTGCCAAGTTTTCGATAGCCAGAGCACGAGAAGGCGTGGATTATGAGTCGTTTTACAGTCAGCAGCCTTGCATCTTTATGATAAACGAAAATGTAATTCATCATCTCCATTCGTCATGCGAAATACCATGGATGTTTAATTTCCATTCAAACAAGCTATCGGCAAGAGAGCATCAATTGATGCTGTGTTTAAAGATACTTTTAACGCAATATCATGAATAGAAAAACCAATAAAGACAACTGCAAATGAATTGTAGCGATTTCTAGCGTTCCATTTGTTCTATTTGCAGTCATAAATTCTTGAAACTTGATTACAAACAAGTGAAATGTCCTTTCGTGTTTATAACAATTAATTACGTTCCAATGGCTGATTTTTACGCTCTCGAATGAAAATGATCCAATCGAAAAACAATTTATAAACTGGTAATTGCACAGTGTACCGATTCGAACCAAACGTAAATATTGTATTTCTGTACAAAGTTTAGATCAAGTTGAAGTAAAACAGATTAGATTTCACATCACTTGCACAATGCACAACAAATACTTAGACTTTAAAAGAACGCAGCATCCAGTATTTTCTTTACACAGATATGTCGAGAGAATACAAAACATGCCATATCTTTGATTATTATCACTATTTCGGGCATTTTGGTGCATTTTGCAGGATGAAATAGAGATGTTGATGTTTAAATGTTCGTAAATTGCTCGGCTAGAATGACTCTCAGTCGGGGCCAAATTTTATAAGTTCACAATACGCTGGCCATGTTTTAGCACACACACAAAGAACGAAGAAATCCAGAATTTTCCTTTTTCATCCTTTCTTTCGCTCTTGAACTAAATTATTACGACAAATAACTTTGGATTCAAGAATTTCTTTCGCTCTTATTTAGACACTTTGACTGACATTCCTTAACTTTAACTTCATAAGTTGGATAAAACCACCAAGAAAAGGCTGAACTCTACGTCAAAATGGCTTGGCAGTGGATTTTACTCTCTCTCGTGACGTTCGCTTTACTGTTTGACGTCAGAGTTAAAGGTGAGACAGACTTCAGTTTTTTCCACAAATATAATCCCTTATGAAATATTTCATTCACCATCAAAGAATAATTAAGTGAGACCTGACTCTGAGTCAACTAGACCATTACCCGGGGTCTTGTTCGGTCTATTCCGCGATCCTTGACAAGCCTAAAACTGGCAACATTTACTGAGAATTGTTTAGTCGACACGTTTACAAAACTTGCACGCGACGAAATAGAGGTTCTCAAACTTTACGGTTCGAATAAAGTTATTAAAAGAATCAGTTGCTTGATGACATCGATAATGTGGATAATATGACTAAAGCAAAACTTAGAGAAAGGGGGAACATAGTGACATAAGAACGTCCC